ATTTCTAGTTGTGAGTTTATTTTGGCATTTTGTTCCTGTATTATTTTCCTGAATTCTCCCTTTTTTTTTTTTTTGTCTGTATTTTCCATGAATTTGTCTACCTTTTCCATGAATTTGTCTATTTTTTCCCCATTTTTGTCTGCTTTTTGCTTCAACGCTTGCATAGCTCTGAATATTAGAGATTTGAATTCCCTATCCAGTAGTTCTACTACCTTTTCTTCTACTGGAAAGTCATCTAGTATTTTATTTTGGATGCCTACTGGAACCATCCTATCCTGTTTTTTAATACGTTTTGACAGTATCTGCTATCTTCAGGACATTCAGTAGCTATTTTCTTCATTTATTGATCGTAGATTTGTTTGTTTCATCCTGCTTTTTTGTTTTATTTGGTTATGTCTGAGCAGGCAGGCTGTGCATTCTTTGTTGTTTGCTTGTGTGTGGTCACGATAATTTTCACTTCCTTGTCCAATAAGCAGCACCGGTTGCTCAGCTATGGTGCAGCAGGGCAGGTCCAGCTGAAGGGGAGGGTCTGGGAGGGGTTGTTTGTAGCAAGTACTGGGGCTGACAAGGTGAGCCAGGGGTCAGTGCGGCCATGCCTGTGCTGCTCGGGAGTGCAATGTTCAGCACACAGTGCAGATAGGCAGGAGGGAGAAGGAGGGGGAGGTTGTTGTGTGTGGAGCTAGGTTGGGTATGGGAAAGAAGAGAGGGAAATAGAAGCCAGAAAAAAAAAGTGCTGAGGGAGCCTACTGTTGGAGTGGGGAGACGAGAAACCAAGAAATGAAGAAAAACAAAACAGAAAATAAATAAATGAAATTTTTTTTAAAAAATCCCCCAGGGATCCCACCGGCACAGCTGTGCAGACTGGGGTTGTTGCTTCCAAGCCACACAGTACAGCCTGGCTAGAAGAGGTAGAGATGATACCAGCATCAGGTATTCAGGGGACAGGAAAAGAAGGTAAGTAGAAAGAGATGAGAAATTGAGAAATGAAGAAAAATAGAAAGAAAAAAGAAAGAGAAAACAAACAAAGAAAAAAAAAAAGCCCCCAGGGATCCCACCAGCATGGCAGCACAGACTGGGGAAGCAGTTCCCCAGCCAAGTGGTGCTTCACAGCCTGTCAGGAAGAAGCACAGATGGCACACAGAGTCAGGTGTTCGAGAGAAACGAGGGAGAGGAGGTGAGAAGCAGGGAAGAAACTAAAAGAGGCTGAAAAAAGCAACACCAGCAGCAAAGAAATGGCAGTGAAGAAGCCGGTTGGTGTGGGCAGGGTGTATCCATGAGGCATGGAACCAGCACCTCCCGTGCCGCAATTGCGGCCCGCTGGGAAGTGTGGGATTGGCCTGCTGGGAAGCAGTGAATCAGGCCACCAGGAAGCAGTGGATCAGCCAGCTGGGAAATTCACCGGCCAAGAAGCTGCGGATTGGCCAGCTGGCAAGTGGCAAAGGCCGAGTAGTGGGAGGCAGGATGCGGGGTGGGAAAGTGTGTCTCACTAGTTACTTTGTCCTCTGTCTCCTGCTGGGAGCTCCGTGAATCTGTTTTACCATACTCCCTGTCAGCTGATCTCCAACAGGAGTCCAAGATGGCGGATCCATGCTGCTTTAGCTGATAGGGGACCTCCTCTCATAACTCTCCTCCCTCTCTGTTCTCTGTCAGTTTCTTATTCCATTCAGTGCTTGGTTGAGTTCTTTATCTCTTCATTTGATGCTTAGGGTTCCAGGACTGATGTTTGTCTCTGTTTTACTTTGTTTTTCGGGTCTTTAGTGTGGAGGGACGGCATGGTGCTTCTGTCTATAGCACCATATTGGCTCTGCCTCCTCTAGCATTTCTTATATGCTGTTTAATCTTGAATTTTTACTCCTCAATTCAACAGAATTGCAGAGGTTAGGTTCAATAAGCTAGAGTCTTTGTTTCAGTTCTAATTTCCTAAAACATGCTCATCACTGGTATCACCACTTCCAGATTTCCTTCTCATTTTTATGTCAGAATACATGTGATTTACAAATTTTGTATTAACAACAAAGCTCTCTCCTGAAATAAAATTTTACCCACTCAGTGCTCAAATATGCAGAGCACAAAAAAGCAAAGCTACTTCAACAAAGGCTCTGGTGAAATAAGGTGGAAGTCTCAGAGACCTGGAGCTCCACCTGCTGGCTATCCCTTCTTCATCACAAAAAAAACCAAACCTGTTGCCGACAAGTTGATTCCAACTCATAGTGACCCTATGAGACAGAGTAGAAATGCCCCATAGGGTTTCCAAGGCTGTAAATCTTCACAGAAGCAGACTGCTACATCTTTCTCCAGAGGAGCAGGCTGATGGGATCCAACCTCTGACCTTTCGGTTAGCAGCTGAGCACTTACCCACTGTGCCACCAGGGCTCCAACTTAACAAACTACTATAATAAAATATTCAAGTAACAGCAAAAAGTCTCCTCTACAAAAGTGCATGGTAACTGCCCAAACTGAACTTTTCACTGATAGCAAGCACCACTATGTGATAACTCAAATTACATAAAACTTCAAATTTATCATACAAAACAGGTATCTGAGTGGAGCAAACATTTTGAGCTGGGCTGCTAACCAGTTGTTAACTGAAAGGTTGGTGGTTTGAACCCACCCCGTGGCTCTATGGAAGAAAGGCCTGGCAATCCGCTTCCATGAAGATTACAGCCAAGAAAACTCTGTGAAACTCAATTCTACTCCATAACACATGGGGTTGCCACGAGTCAGAATCAACTTGACACTAATAGGTTTGGTTTTGGTTTTATCATACAAAACGTGCAGGGATCAGAGCTGGACTAAGAAGTCCACCAGTTAGATAGCTATGTGATGGTGCTAGTCTTTAAAAGTCACCAGCTCATCACTGAAAATTTAGCAAGATGAAGAAAAGAATATGGCCCAGAATTCCTCACAGGTACGTACTACATATGGCTGGTAAGATACCCCTTGAGGCATGCCTGAATAACAACCATAATCTTTACGGGAAGGTGACTCCAACCAAATTGCAAGGCTTTTGTTTTGCTGAGTGGAATAAGCAATTTGGGAGTCAGAACTAAATTGTTCAGGGCAATCGTGGAAACACAGCACATTGCCAACTACGTCTCTTCACATGGTGTTTAACCTGTCCTCTAAATGTTGAACACGTGTTTAAGAACATCAGTTTGAAAGTGTACGAATTGTTAACCCTTCCTGGGTAAACAAATGTCTGCATATGGCTCCAGTGTCAATATACATTAAGGTGTAAGTTGTTCAAAATTTGAATTTGCACAAGTCAAGGACTGCCTGTCTCTATATTTTTTTTATGACATATCGCTTTCAACTTGACATTGTAGTTTTAGACCTGTCTTAACTCCTTAACTAGATTAGAATTTCTGTAAAAGCAGGGACCATGTCTTTTTCATCTTTGTATGTTCTACAGAGCATAACTTAGTAAAGTTACTCTATTAGATGAACTGCTGCTGAATGAATGAATTGCTTCCTTCACCAGGTACTTCAAATCTTACCTATCCAAACAATTCATTAGCTTCACCAAACGTCACTTCCCCTCAATTCTTATCTTTTCTTTTCTCACTGTTGGGATAGAAATAACCTTGAGCTGTGTTAAGCACTGGAGCTCAGACATCCCTGAGCAGGTGTGGGGGCAGAGCTCCTGGAAGTGCATTTTTGTGAGGGTCCCCCACCCCCAATGCCCCAAGGAAAAAAAAAGAACTAGGAAGGTAAGCTTGACTCAGAAAAACAAGTTTTTTCATTAGAAGTGAAAAATAACATCTCTTACTCAAACTTGCTATTGACACAAAATGATTGATCCATGTCTGAAGCCTAGGAAGAAGAGCACATGCGCAATGGCTTGAGCATTTAAGGGCAGGTGGGGAATGTTACTTTTGTAGTTGAAAAAGTATCATGAATTTATTTCTGGTAAGATTTAACTTTTTCTATCAGTTTATTAGCTACTATTTCTCCTTTTGGAGGAGCCCTGGTGGTGCAGTGGTAAAGCGCTCAATTGCTAAGCGAAAAGTCAGCGGTTTGAACCCACCAGCTCCTCTGAGGGAGAAAGATGTGGCAGTCTGCTTCCGTAAAGATTACAGCCTTGGAAACCCTATGGGTCAGTTCTGTTCTGTCCAGTTCTACTCTGTCCTATAGGGTCGCTGAGTCGGAATCGCTCGATGGCATGGGTTTGGGATTTTATTTTTTTTCTTCTTTTACTATCTGTTCAGGGTTGTTTGCTCATTTAGTTATAGATTATTACCGGGTTTTTAAATTAATAATAATGTTCTTTAGAGACTAATTTTTTTTTCATTTTTCTTGCATTTTTCCCAGTTGACTTTCAGTTGTTTTTACATGGACGTTTTTGTCAAATTTTTTTGTGTGACTTTTTTCTTTAGTTTTAAGCTTATACAGTTGCCGTCCATAGAGACATTTGAAAATTATCCACTATTTTCTTCTATTTTATTGATTTTTTTTTGCATATATTACACTAATAAAAAAAAATTCTATCAACTTTTAACCCAAAAGACTAGCCCATTATGCCAGGACCATTTATGGGATAATAATTTCAATTATGTTTGATTTGGGATTCTGTATTTATCATATATTAAATATGTAGAAGGGCCTGATCAGGGCTATTTTGTTTCATGAGTCCATCTACTCTTGTGCCTCTGTGATACGGTTTAGTAATGTGTTTTGAGAGTTTTAATATTGGGGTGGGGGTGCTTCCCATCATTACCTTTCCTGAAAAATAAATAATCTATAGTCTTTCAGACACATTTTAGGATCAGTTTGCCAAACTGTGTTAAAACGATGAGTTAATGGGGAAGGAACTGACCACCTGAAAGCATTTAATCTCCCATCTGGGGGTCCCATCTGGGAGGAAGTTTCACCTTTCCATTGGATTATCTTTAGGTAAATAGAACCATACACCTTTTCTATAAGCTATGCCTTTGGATAATGGTATATAATAGCTGCTAGAAATTTTTCCACTTTTTCAGGGTAAGAAAGATTCCTCTCACCTAAATATCTGAAAAGGGAGGTAGTGGTGATCTTCTGAATTCAAAGCCAGGAACTGGAGTTTTCATGACATCATCTGAAAACCAGAAGCCAAAAAAAGAAAAAGGCTTAAAGGAAAATTCCTATTAGAAAAAGGAGAAATCAAAGTACAAATGTGTGGTTATCAAATTGCAGTCTGCAATTCCTTGGTGAGTTTGAGAACATTTAATGAGGCTCTTAACAACTTCTTTAAATGCAATTTAATAGATCTGGAAAACACAGATATTTTCTAAGTATTGTTTTGTGGATATTTGTTTCTATCACAGATGTGTGTGTACTGGGTAATGGATAAAAATGAATTTCTGACCATGGTCAATTTTATTCTACCAGAAGCTTCAGTTTATTTTTCTAAATCTAACAAAATAAATTACTGTTTATGTTTCTAATCCATTTTAGAAATTCTTCCCTTTACTTTTCCAAATTATATCTTTATGACTTGGAAAATAAGTTAGTTTCTTGTTTACTTTCTTGAGAGAAAACTATCTTCAGTCCTTCATCTCATGCTTGAGGTTCCTTATATCCAGGCTAAGAACCATGATCCTAGAGTAGATAGGGCTCAAATTAATCAGGATGCTGGTTAATCAAAGAGTGAATGTGCCATAGCTCACACAGATATAGAAACAGCACTTCCTTTTCACTTTCTTTTCTCCCAAAAGTTTAAAAGAATAAAATGCTAGGCAGATAGTAAGTGTCTTAGCCATCTAGCACTGCTATAACAGAAATACCACAAGTGGATGGCTTTAACAAAGAGAAGTTTAGTCTTTCACAGTTCAGTAGGCTACAAGTTCAAATTCAGGGTGTCAGCTCCAGGGGAGCACTTTCTCTTTCAGCTCTGGAGGAAGGTCTGTGTCATCAATCTTCCCTTGGTCTGGGAGCTTCTCTGTGCAGGAACCTCAAGTCCAAAGAACGCACCCTGCTCCTGGCATTGCTTTCTTGGTGATATGAGCTTCCCATGTCTCTCTGTCTGCTTCTCTCTTTTATATCTCAAAAGAGATTGGCTTAAGACACTATCTAATCTTGCAGACTTCATCAGTATAACTGCCGCTAATCCATCTTATCACATTATAGTGATAGAGTTTACAACACATATGGAAATCACATCAGATTACAAAATGGTACACAATCATACAATACTGGGAATCATGACCCAGCCAAGTTGACAGATATTTTGCGGGGATACAATTCAATCCATGACAGTAATCCTACTCGACATGTATCTGCTGAATAATATATATTGTTCTCAGCTCAAACTTAGATTCTGCATTCAAATAAACTCTAGATGGTACTATGAACCAGAAATACAAATACAAAAAGGTTCCTGTTAAATCACATCCTCTATCAAGTTCATTTTGTTCATTCTATGGTGTTCTCTTGCTACTTATTCTTTAATACTTTTGTGAAATGGCATTGTCCTGTTTTTGAGGCTAACTCCAGCTTATCTTAATAATGGTCAAGTGCCACACAGACCATTCTAAATAATTCATAAGCTTTGCAAATGCAGAATCACAGAGATAGCCATAACTGCACTGTACCCTGAATCGTGTCCACCTTCTCCCCAAGTGAAATTTTAATCCAAGGCATCCTGAATATCCTACTTTTATAAAGAGTTTCTGCTTTTTTTTTTTTTAAGATTCTAATGTTGTCTTTGGATGTCCCTTAGGCTTGGAAAACAATTTGCCTGCAGAGAAATATAAAATGACTTGAATATTGTAAACTAACATTACAAAATATATAAAGTCAAAATTTGTTATTAATAGCCCTGAAAACTCAGAGATCTTAATATTCTTCTTGCTCTAATTAACTCCAAATATTAAAGAAATAAATCTGGTAGGTCTATTCCACGTGGTGAATTGGGGTGGAGAGGGCAGAAAGAACTGGTAATCAAGAGCAAACAATTTCAAATTGGGGTCTGTTTCAGATAAGGTTATTAAGTGCCCATCAATGGATGAGTGGATAAATAAATTATGGGACATACAATGGAATACTATCCAATGATAAAGAATAATGATGAATCTGCACAACATCTCAGAACATGGATGAATCTGGAGGACATTATGCTGAGTGAAATAAGTCAATCACAAAAGGACAAATATTGTACAAGACCACTATTATAGTCAAGGAAAGTTTTACAGAGAAAGAACATTTTTTGATGGTTAGCAGGGATAGGAGAGGGAGAGGAAAGAAAATCACTAACTAGAGAGTAGACATGTGTTAACTCCAGTGAAGGGAAAGGCAGTACACAATATGGAGAAAGTCAGCACAACATGACCAAGGCAAAAGAACACACTGAGAGGTACACAAGAATAAAAGGCAACAAAGGTAAATACTGTAACATATAAATCCTGCAACAACAGTAATATAATTTATGAGTAGATACATAGGTAGATATGTGTGCTGAATAGGTATGGGAGGGCATATGGGAGTATATCCATGTGCATATATAGGTTTGGCTGTGGATATTTCTACATACATATTTGTATGTGCTGCATGTATATTCATATATATAGAATAGAGCAAACAGGAGGCACAGCACAGTCATGGAAACATCCCAGGCATAACCAAACACTTTGTAGGACTGAGTTACTGGGCTTGAAGGCTAAGCACCATGGTCTCAAGGGACATCTAGGTCAACTGACATAACATAGTTCATAAAGACAACGTTCTACATCCTACTTTGGTGAGTAGCATCTGGGGTCTTAAAAGCTTCCAAGTGGCCATCTAAGATACAACTATTGGTCAAAAGAACTAGATAGTGCCCAGCTACCACTACTGACTACTCTGACCAGGATCACACTAGAAGGTCCTGGTTACAGTGGGAAAAAATTGTACAACAAAATACAAATTCATAAAAAAAAGACCAGATTTACTGGTTCAAGAGAGACTGGAAGAACCGCCGAGACTATGGCCCTTAGATATCCTTCTAACTTGGAACTGAAGCCATTCTCAGAGATCACCTTTCAGCCAGATAATAGACAGGCCTATAAAATAAACAACACTCACGAGAAAAGTGTTCCTTAGAGCAATCATCTATATGAGACCAAAAGGGCAACGTCTGCCCAAAAGCAAAGATGAGAAGGCAGGAAGGGGCAGGAAAACCAGACAAATGGAAATGGGTAACTCAGGGTGGTAATGGGGAAGGTGCTAACACACTGCAAGGATTGCAACCAATGTCATGGAACGATTTGTGTGTAAACTATTGAAGGGAAACTAACTTGCTCTGTAGACTTTCACCTAAAGCACAATTTAAAAAAAAGAACTCAACAGCCATTCTATATAAAAATAAAGGTTATTAAATATTTTTGGAAAATAAGCATGTTTATTTTTTAATAATCAGATCCTGGATAAACACAAACATTTCCTAAGAGTTCCCCCACCACAAAATCCAATGCTTCAATTTATGTATTAATAGGTTGTATTTTGCGACCCACATTTCCCACATACTGACTCCAAGTTTCATGAATGTAATTGTTTTAAAGATTATGTTTTCTGAGGAATTCCTCAAATATCGTATCACTACTTTGCTATGTATGGAATAAAATATTTCCTGGCGAAATCTACAAATAGCAGATATTTTTCAAGATTTTTAGTGAGGATTTACTTTTTTATTTTTCAGAGATCGTATCTGAAATATGGCTCAGAGTGACTTCCTCTACCCAGAGAACCCAAGGAGGAGGCAGGAAGTAAACCGTCTTCACCAGCAGCTCCTTGATTGCTTATCTGACAGCTTCCATGTCACCAATAAGCTGATTGGGGTTCTAAACATGCACTTGGGATGCAGCCTTGCCTCGATTGAGATGAAAAGAGATGGAACCATCAAAGAAAACTGTGATATCATCATCCAGGCCATGACGACAATTCAAAAGGAATTGCAAAAGGTAGACGAAGCACTAAAAGATAAACTTGAGCCAACCCTTTATAGAAAGCTTCAGGACATTAAGGAAAGGGAGTCAGAGAAAATTGCAATAGTACAAAAGGTTATTTCAGTCATCCTGGGAGAAGCCACTTCTGCAGCCAGTGCAGTGGCTGTTAAACTGATAACCTCAAATGTCACAACGGGCATAATTAACAAGTTGGTCACTGTTCTAGCTCAAATTGGTGCCTCTCTCCTTGGGAGTATTGGAGTTGCTGTTCTTGGCCTTGGCATAGATATGATCTTCTGTGCTATCCTGGGAGCAGTGGAGAAAACACAGCTTCAAGCAGCCATCAGAAGTTATGAGAAGCATCTGGTAGAGTTCAAGTCAGCCTCAGAGAACTATCATCATGCCATTACCGAAGTCACCAACACAGTGAAACACCAAATGAAATGAACACTTATTTTGTCACTGGAGAATTTTTCTGCTTTCTTCTCAGTAATAGTGTTTGCTTCCTTGAATAGGTTCATTTTTTTATGCCTCCTATATGGGCATAAAATAGGGTTAATAGTTTGGAAAAGGGGGTCTGACATGCTAAAACTAAATGACTCTGGAGTGTTTTTTTTTTTTAAATCAACAACCAGTGCCTGGATTAGTTAGCACTAGATCCTACAAGGTAAGACATTATGTCGCACTATGTCTTCTCATCCTGCATTACCAGATCAACATTGGGGTAAATGCTATTACGGATCAGCAGGTGTAGGCTTACCCATTCTAACGGCCAGTAAAAATTCTTAAAATATACATTGAATGCGAAGACTTGCATTTCTACCACCATCTTCAGACATCATTTAGTTCTAAGGGGACATACTTAGTAAATTCCAGCTAGACATAGTCCTGGAACTTTGAATGGAACAGAAATACAACTGGATTTTTGAGCATCAGAGTAAATCCAATTTTCTGTAAACTAGCAGATATTAAACATTGGTTAGTACCATCAATATGCTTCATCAATGAAAAGAGGCAGTCGTTCTATAACCTTCTACTAGTTACACACCATAATCTGGATGGATTTAAAAGTTACAGATAAAAACATAAAAGTTGTTCCTATAATTGCAACCAACTCTGATTAACTTGTGGAGTGATAATTAAATATCCGTCAAGTGAATGTTTTAATACTCTGGAACTTTTAAAAACAAAACAAATAAATCCAATGCATATATGTACAAAATGCATTTAACATACAGGTGAGACAGTCCCTACTCTTTAAGAATGTCATTTAAAGTAAAGTCATCATTTATCACCTTGTAAGTTTTCAGAAAAAGAAAATAGTTTTATTTTTCACACTAGCAGGAAAGGAGGCAGTTGCCTTTGCCGTATGAAGCTTTTGGACCCGTTTCATTAATTCTCTAGTTTCAAGAAAACTCAGAGGCTATGGAGGCCTGACGGTACAGCTGAATCTTAGTGCGGCTGCAAGTGTTTATTTTCTAAACGCTTTAGCAACTAGTAACTCCCAATTGAGCTGCTTTTAGGTTCTACTCACAAAATTATTAATATGCTGTTGATGGAAGAATGTGTTCGTTATAGTTGACTGTTGCACTGAAGTACTAGCAATTTCTTGAAATAAAAAATGTTCAGCATATTTCAAAAGTTAAAAAGCTAAATGACTTTAATTTTTCAAATGTACTCTTTTGAAAATGAAATCTTTCTCGCATTACTTAATTAGTTGCAAAACATCACAATTTAGTTCACTTAAGTTATTATTATTTTGCTTATCACCTGGTTTTATAAGCTTCAAACTATGAGATTTTGTTATTGCTCTTTCAGGAACTCAAAATTCAGTTTAAAATCATATCAAATAAAGAATTCAAGACAAAGGTTAGTTTAGGTACAGGACTTATACTGCTAAGTGCACATTTAAATATTCTGCTGTTCTAGGGTAAAAACATCACAAAGTTCTAGTAAAGAAAAAAGAAAGGTTTTATTCAGCCTATGTTGAAAGAGGCAAAAGTAGGAAACGGACAAGCAGGCTGCCAGAGCCATGTCTGCCCAAGTCCAAGGAATATTACAGAATAGGCAAAATTGGGAAAACGGGCAAGCATGCTGCCACAGCCATGCCTGAGTCCAAGGAATATTAGAGAATAATCGGTATATGTTAACATTACAAATGGGTAAAATCATTGAAAGCTTCACCTTTTCACAGATTGGCTAAAAACTGCCAAATCGCCGTGATTCTACATTTTGAATCCTTTCTTAATAATCATTGGAACTACAGTCAGAAAGGTCTTTGTTGGTCCAACAAATCTTACTACTCAGTAAACGCTAACAGCAAAGGTTTAAGAGTGGAAAGTATGCGGTCTTCGGTGCTGTTTATGTGAAAGGTTCCCTAAAAACATTTTCCAAGATTGTCCTAGGTATTGTCTTTATACCTCAGAGCCCAGTTGCCATGTCCCTGTAAATCCCTGTCCATCCTTTTGAGTCCAGCTCCAGCTGGGTCATTGTTGATACTCAAAGACAGGGAATAATGGCTCCAATACTATCTCCTAAATCACTGCTAAAAATTAATATGTATCCTCATCAATATTTTGAATTTTTTTCATTGATAGTTAGAATCGGCATATATCTAACTTGTTTTCCTATGGGGGTACTCAGTTTAAGGTTAGAAATAACACGTATGCCCTTTTAAGAGAAGAATTTTTTTGTTTTTTTTAATATTGGAACTTACCCATAAGAAAAAAAATGAGGGGAGGAGTTTCAGGGAATGTTAGAAGCAAAGAAAATGACAAAAGACTAGAGATAACTGAATAATCCAATACTCATAGTGACATCATAGACGACTTTGGGCTGGTGAAAAGACCAGTTGGTAATCGATATACATCGACCTCGTCATTCGTAAATTTAAAAGTGACTGCACATGTATCCCCTCATTTCCTCTTAAAAAAATACTACTGCAGATTAGCAATCTGGAACCCGAATATGGGCACTGACTTGTTCACATCTACAAATGCGGAACGTCTATAAGCCATTACCGAACTCAGGCACCCACATGGGATAACCTGGCCATAGCAAAACACACCAAACAGTCACAAGTTAATACTTCCCAAAGGACCACACCGCCACGTTCGTAATGAGAATCAGGAAAATCCGAAACCTTGCACAATTACCAGAATACAGAAACATCGCAAAACACATCCCTATCTTTAACGTACAGTCTACCAGGAGGCGCGATATACGGTGCTCCCGGAAATTAGGTCAAGATGCATGGGAGAGGGGTCGGAACAGGGCTCCTGTCAGCCAATCAGATATCAGCCTTTCTTCCTGGTTCTGATTCCTATTGGACTTGGGAAGTGTCATTCTACGTGGAGTCTTTGGTAATGCATCAAGGAGGCGGGCTCTTAGCCCAAGGTCAACCAATTCGGTATTGTATTGGACAGGAAAAGACTCTGGTCGTGGTGTTTTTGGGTACTCTCTATGGTTCCACCAAACGGAAACGCTGAGAGACTATCGGCCCGAAGGGATAGGAAGTGACGTAGGAATGGTGGAGGGGCGCGAGGTTTCAAGATGGCGGTGGCTGAGTGGCTGACCGAGAGGCAGGGGTGAAGGCCCCTGCAAAGCAAAAAAAACTGGGAATCGTCCCCGCCCCGCTTCTCGCAGTACCGGGATCCCAGGAGAAGTGTGAGTGTGCAGGACTGTCCTACTCCGCTTCTTCCTCTGGCCTTTCCCTTTCGGGACCCGGCGTCGTTGCCTCAGGGATTCCAGGCCCCTCTGTCCTGCTCTTTCTCTCTGCGGTTGGAGTCTCCTGGGTCCCAGACTGGGGGCCCTCCGGGCCCGATGTGGCGCGGCGTGGCGTCCAGCGGTTAAGCGGCTGACATCGCCCGGGTCGGTTAGCGCCGTTTCCTGTGCACGTTGACCGATTGCCTTAGGGTTGACGTCTAGTACCTCGAGTCAGGGTCAACCGTCGCTGTGGTTTCGACAGTTGCTTCTGTTGTTGTCCCCTTTGGTAGATGTGTACTCCGTCCCATTGCAACCTCTTTGGCTGTTCAGAGTTGCGCATGGTTTTGTGGCCTGATTTCCCGGCGCCCTCTGCTTTCAGACAAAAAAGTAGTTTGTAGCCTAGGGCTCCATTGTAAAGATTGTAATTGGAATGTTTTTATGTTTCATTTGTGGGAAGAGAAAGGTCATAACACGAGCCTGAGGATAATTAGGAAAGAAAAAAAAAAAAAAAACAGGCCATCAAGGATATGAGGGGTCATTTTGCTCGTTCTCGTCCCCACTCCCCCAGTTTTTCTAAGAAATACTGACATGCTAAATTAATTGCCACTGGAAAATCTCTGAAGCATCTAGCATAATCGGGGCAGTTGAACACTTACTGAAAGAGATGTTAATTGTAATCAGCTCGTCTGACAAAGCCTTTATAAAGGTAGGAGAGAAAATATGATCCTACTGTCTACCAAAAATTTTACCTCATGAGCTTCCCTTTCCCATCCTTTAACGGTGTCTACTTTCAAAAGGGTGGAAATTTGTCAACGTTTATCACTGTAAAGAGTAAGTTTCAAAAAGATCTCATTCATTCGGAATAATGGGGAAAAAGCAATAGAATAGTGTCTTAAATTAATGAAATCGTTGGCTTACAAACTATTTGCCTTCAAACACAATTAGCCTCTTCGGGTACTTTTAAAAAATACAAATCAGGAGTCAAGTCAGTACTTGTAAGAAAAATATATATCTTAATAAATACTGAAAATTATGGAAGCTCTCTCAACATAATACTAATTTTGAATATTTGTGTTTTTAGTTATGTTTTAAATTTTTACTTGAGAGTTAAGAACTATATTTGAATTAAATATGCTTAAATTACTGTCTTGGAGGTTTTGGGAATTTACAGCATACATACCGAGAAAAACCACGGAGTGCAGCATGGATGAACTATTTGTTTTTGAGCGCAGATTTTATTACCCCCATTCCCTTTTACTTCGTTTTTCATCCTACACATGAATAAAAGGAGCATGTACGAAAAGAACTAGCGGCTTCTCATGTTGGTGGTTCGTGCCATATTGTTGAAGCGTTTTCTGGTTGATTTTTTCAACTGACGGTAAATGCTGTGATCCATAACAAAAAAATTACATTGGTGATTTAGCGATATCTAAAATGAGCTTCAGACCCATTACCTTTCTAAAGAATAATAAAGATCTAATTTTGGGTGGCCAAGAAAGTTGAGGCCGTCTTTCTTGGACACTGACATCAAAACTAGGGAAAGAACAAGATCTCCAAAACTTATTAATCAACGAAGTGTTTCTTGTCAGAGATGTGTGAACTCCAGGAGGAAGAAGTCTTATGGGAAAAAATAATCTATTTCTTTGTCTTTGCAGGTTTTTTTTTTTTTTTTAAATAAACAAGTAAATCATACAGATTATCAACATGGGACGAAGATCTACATCATCCACCAAGAGTGGAAAATTTATGAATCCCACAGACCAGGCCCGTAAGTGTCCATTAATGTGGAATGATGAAGCAAAGATTAAGGAGTGGTAAAAA